CAGATTGCTAGAGTAAATAATCCTATCATAGTTCTCTTTTCAGTCCACTGGGTGATTGCGGTGGTCGGTACTGACGTATTCAAAACGCGTTCGGCTCACAATAGCCTTGCACCACGACGGCCATATCGACCGGTCACTTCGTCGGTCTGCTTTTGTCTTCTAAGAGATGCTGCATGCGAGAGGGGGAGGGAGCGAGGCGCAGCCTGTTCGAAAAATCGTTTAAAAAAGCTTGCACATTTTTAGCTAATAATACGGAGCGCTAGATGTGATTTTGAAGATCACTGACCGAAAAACTCGTCCTTTGTGAATAAGCGCCTGCTTTTTATGCTTTCTTCTCAGTGTGGTCTTATAGCAACTTCGGCAACAGGCTATTCCGAAAGATTAAGCTTTAGTAGTATTGGTAACAGCATGTATACGCATGGAGTCTTCATTAGGGGGAAATGTATGTCATGCGTTCATGTCCATCTGCTACTGACCACAATGCGGGTGTTCGAGAGTAAAGTGAGGTTGGTACTGCGCAAATCTTCTCCATTATAATCTCAATCACGTGACAGTCGCCAGTACCCATCCAGGCGAAATTTGAGTGTCTGCAGCAACAAATAATGTTTGTTATGCTGTTTTTTTTTCCTGCATACCTAGTTATTGAGAGGGTTTGATGCAGAATTAAAGCAAAGGCTTTGGTTTTTCCTCCTTCGTATTACCATCGGTAGCTCATGGTTTAACGGAAGGTCCGCTAATTTAAATGCCCACTTGATCCTAATTGTACCCTCACGACTACTACTACTAACACCACTGCTGCTTTTACTCCTGCCACTAATGTTCTTTCCCCTCCTGCTGTTACTATTACTGTTATTAATTCCGCTACACCTACTTATACTCCTACCACTACGCTACTGTTACTCTTACTACCCCTTCTACTGCCGCTGCTACTATTACTTCTGTCCCCACCACTGCTGTTACTGCTACTCCTGTTACCGATCTTGTTAATGTGCCACCACTACTACCATTACCCCCACCCCCACTACCGCCACTACTTCAACTACTAGCACTGCAGCCACTATCACTATCCTTACTATTAATTATAGTTATGCTTCTTCTACTGTTTCCCGTTCTCCACAGATTGGTGCACTTCATTCCCTTACTGTAGTATTTATATTCAAATGGTTAGGTAGTGCTTTATTACTACACTGCTGTGTGCACTTCTGCAGTTATGTTTCGCCCAGCCAGTGTCAGAGGAGGCTAAGGGCTATCATCGTATTATCAGAATTGGCAAACTATACGCACTGAGTCATATACATTTATTTTTTCCAAAATCCCAGCCTTTCCATCCCGTTTCAATGCCCAGAGCTAGCTGGCGAGGTTCACAAGGCGTCCTTATGGCATCGGACGCACTGGAGGAGACAATGGAAGATCAGGAAGGACCAGAGAGAAGATAAAAATGCAATTTATATACTGTGTAAAAGCCCACCATTATAATTCGCGACAAAAGTCATCTGCCACATTTTTCACACTCGATATACCTGGCGAATATTATTTTCTTGCTTGATTTTATTTATCCCCTTTGGAGGCTTTTGTTCAGCAACTTAAAAACATGATTGGCCGCAAACTCCCCGTCCTCTCAAACATCTCATGGGATAGTCGAACGGTATTCAGCTGCCAAAAGTAGCACGATGAACTAAATTTAAAGGACGCAATGATGTGGACAATTGCTTTATTTAACACGCGCAAACAGCCTATTTCGGTTTCAAACAGTTGGCAGCATTAAGTTCGTTTCGAGTTTGGGATGGCATGCTTTTACTGGTGCGCTGAACTCGTAAACAGTGTCCTCGGAGAACGTCCGTTATCGTTCTTTGATGCAACCGGTGTACTACTGGTGTCTGACGGATCCACTAACACTGGGTACCCCGCTCTTACATCACTAGCGTGAGTAAAAGGCCACAACCGTAGTTGATATCAGTGCCTGAGGCAGCATCTATGGCACTACTCTTCGAATCTTTCTTCCAATATGTTTCGGCCTTCCGAAAGCATGAATTATGATGAAAAAACAGAATTCGATCTGGGTATGTAAATATGAATGTAAGAATCTTATGAACGGTCAAATTTTGGTAAAACTTCGGAGTCGGTGAGTAGACGTTACCGCTGTCAGGTCTCTGTTCTCAGAAGCGATGATAAGGTCCCCGTTCTTTCGAAGTAGCTTGACTGCCACTGCATAATTGAGAAGTATACGATCAGCACTTAAAGGGGTTTAAGTCTAGAATCTACCAAAAGCACTACAATATCGAGTTTTTAGGTCGCAAATGAGTGTGACAAGACAGACAAATAACATTTGTTCCAAATCCCGGTAACTGATTGGCCCATGGTTTGTTGGTCCCCTGGTTCTGTCATCAAAAGCAAGACAAATGTGTATCGTTGTGGCGAACACGGATGTCACAGCTTGCAGTGATGCATCTGTAATGCGAAATAAGTAAAGATGATTTTCAGGTAGTGAGTTGAACGTATTTCATGCCGGGAAATATGTCTGACGAGTGCAAAGGGGTTGTCATCAGTCAAAACTTCACTTAATATAATCGATGGAAATTCGGAAAGCAAATTTGAAGTTTGGAAATGCATATGCCAACAAGTAGTTGGATTGACTAGCTGTCAGCGATTATGTACAAAACCCCTTTTTCACCTTCCTACTATCAATGTTTTTCTCCGACGACTTGTAACCAATAGGGAGTTCAAAGGCGCTCGCGTATATTTCCCATAGTAAACTGAAACTGAAACTAAAGTGAGCAATTTAGAAACCAATTATCCTAAGGGACCACGTAGTTTTGCCAAAACAGTTTATATTCCACCAACCTTGGTATCTGATCGTAAAATTAACTGAATTCTTGATCACAAATCCTGCCCTAAGCATCAGGTGTATCTAAACGTTATACTCTGGTCTCACATATCAATTATTACAGCAGTCTTAACGCTACTGTGATACATAGCTTGTCAGAGTCGGATGACTAACTGACTCAACATTCACCTTTGATTAACCGTGCCCCTCTAAATTTTGCGTACAACTGTGCAGATAGACTTTCAACAGCTTTTTAGCGGCTGGACTGTGACAGACGTCTGAGTTTAGACTAACATTTTATGTGTTATTGCATCACTTAGTCGACCTAACTGGAGTTCGGCTGCATATGAAGTTGCAGCTATCCCAAATTGCCCCTTTCTTAACGTAATGAACCAGAGACACCGAGCCTTAAACATCGTGAATTTCAGCGACCACCTTCCCCATTATGCAATTATTCCGGACCTTCCAGTCTCTTCTAAGAAAACTGGGGTTATGTTTAACAAAACAATGAAGTACTTGATTGTCACGAAAGTTTAGTACCTGGAACTTGATCTTTCTTTGGTCTAATGTTTGTCCTGGTTAATTCGAGTGAGGTCTTAACGAAATTCACGCTTGTGGTATCAAGCTTACTAACATATCAGTGTTTCACGGCAGTGGGAAAGGTTTCTCGAGTCTGAAATAGGATGGGGCTGCAGAAACACACGGATGACTGTTTCCTTGCAGGATCGTGTTAAGGATGCTTTGTATTGGTAACCAAAACGTGATAAGTATGCAGCACTCACAATGGCTATGTCGTTTTCATAGCCCTGTCCAGGTACGGAGTTCGCAGTAACGACAAAAGTTTCCGAAGACATCATAGCTCAAATTGCCTGGGAGACTAGGAATTGGGGTTTCAACATCTCGACCAGTTTCCAGGGAGATATAATGGCACTTATAACGGATTAAATAAAACTAAGCTGAAGAATTACGTCTGTGAGCGAACGAGTGAGTACTTAATTGGTCATGTTTCACTTCTACACTTTCCGAAAAGTCACAAACTTATCTTATTTAACTGCTATAAACTTTTCATCATGTCAAGTATCAACCCCGATTTCGTTGTTTATCTAGCACGACCATGATACACTTAATTATTTGTTGAAGTGTTGATATTGTCAGCGGAATTAAGCCGAATGTCTAACGAGACACATCGGGAGAGGGGATTCGCAACTGCGCTACTGCGGTAGCTTAGCCTCCAGTCGAAATAATTAGCGCATGTGACACATGTGAGTCCACGTAGTCGCAGTTGCCCATACGTAACTTGAACAAATCAGCCCTCAGCAGAAAGAACCCACACAAATCAGACAACACTGGAGATTGCTCCTCAAACCTATTAGAGCAGCGGCAACCACTTGTCTCGGTCTGTCTCTGAGGCACGACCTGAGAGTTCGACCGTCGATTTCGACGATGTCCACAGTGTGCTGCACAGCAGGCTGGGAGCAGGGACGGTGACTTGCGCGGGGTTTGTAGTGCGAGTGGACTTGCGATGCGTCTACCACACTCTCTCCTCCTCCCCCACCTGGACCCGGTGTCAAGACAGGGTCAAGAAGACCGGAGATGAGAGAGGCCGTAGGTGGATGGCACGGTCGAGCCCTCACCATGGCGTTCCACTCCACATCCCCTGGTTCACACAACAAATAACCAGGTTTTTGACCCCACAATAGAGATTGGAGGCTGGCACGACCGAAGCCGCATCTAGGCGCGCCGCCAACGCCTAGCTTGGATCCCACGCAGTGGGAGTGCCATAAGGGCCACATTAAGAAGGAGCCATTGCAGCCTGACTCTCAAACCACCAACCGGCCGCTCCACACCATCACACACAACACTAGGCTGACTGTGAGGTCCAGGTTATCCCGTCAGTCGCCATCTTTCCAAGCCACGGCTTTTAGCGCATCGTGCTAGCTTCGAACGCGTCAGATTGTTTATAGTGAGGAAAATGTGCTGAGTCGTCGATCTCACTCTCCCTTCCCATCCCCATGCTTCAGCCACTGTCCGAGTTGGTCAGATATCTGGAGCGGGGAATGGGCGCGGTGACTGACAGTTTAGTGACTTTGTTTGCGCGCGCCACACGCACGACCTGACCCCCCGAACACAAGCACCAGAATTTCACATAAGGGGGATTGAGCGGCGTACCTCTCACTTACGTGAGATGGCCGTGGAAATAGCTGTTTCGGCCCGGCTCCCAGTCCACCAGTCCTACACTCCACATAACAGACAAACAACTGGACGGATTGAGTGGACCAAGTTCGGTCGTCAGTAAGCAACCTTTCAATCCACGGCGCTTGACGCGTCGACATAGTCTCAGGCTCGAGTCGCCCATGCAATAGGAGCCGCACGGGGACCGAGTCGAGACGCACACTTCCCACTTGCGTGAGAGGTGGCAGTTGGCTGCTTGCGGTGGGTGATGTTGATGAGCGGTGAGATGTTGGTGAGGGAGGATGTGCTGGTGTGGCGCAGCCGGCGATTGTCTACCACAGGTTTTCATGAATGGCATGTGGCCGAATAGACCCCTCCGGTGCATGAATGTGCGAGGGTAGAGTGGACAGTGGAGGCGAATGCGGCGGGCGTATTTGAGTGCTTCAGGCACTGGTTCGCCAGTCACTGTGCGATGGATTCGCAAGTGACCGACCAGGCCGATGCGTGAGGTGAATGTGCGGTCGCAGTGAGGACAGGTGTAATCCTGCTCCTCACCTCTGGTGTCAATGGTGGTGGTGGTGGTGGTGGTGTTTGTCGTTGTGTCACGATTGTGTGCAGTGTTGATGTGCATGTAATACGCCACAACGGCGGACGTTGGGGCGGCGGAGGAGGAGGAGAAGGGGGAGAGAGGGAAGGAGGACGGGTAGAGGGAGGAGGAGGGGGAGAGGGGGGGAGGGGAGGAGGAGGAGGAGGAGGAGGAGGAGGAGGAGGAGGAGGATGGAAGCTATGGTTCACGAAGGCAAACAGAATTATTTGACGGAATAGAGGACGAGGAAGAAGTGGACGGCGGGACGACAGTAGGTACTGTCCGAGTGGCTCAGTTGATCCGAAAATGTCCAAAAAGTCAAGTTGGCTCCCGGAATGTCCGTAGACATCGTGGACACGTTGAAGGAGGTTGTGCGTTGGAAATGTGGGGCGGGCGCAGCTGAGATTTGCGAGCTTCGCGTTTGGCTTTCGCGGCGGCAATACGGTCGGCTTCGTAGATCGCAGCGCTTGTCTTCACTGTCCTCCTGCAGGTCGGTCGGTCGTGGGCGAGGTCTTCCTAGTTGGATGGATTGATGTACAGACGTTTCGCGGAGGACTTTAGATTATCCTTGTATCGACGAAGTTGGTCTCCTTGGCGGCGCGAACCCGTGACGAGGTCTCCATAAAAGAGTCGTTTGGGTAGCCGCTCCTCGTCCATCCGCACAAGAGGGCCGCTCTAACGCAATTTCAGTTGCTTAAGCATGGTGTAGATGCGGAGGATTCCTGTCCGTTCCAGCATCTCACTGTTCGGAATTCGGCCCTGCCATCTCAGCTTCAGGATACGACATGACAACTGAGGTGGGAGTGATTGAGTCGGCGTGCCTGCTTCGTGTATACCGTCCAAGTATCCGCTCCGTACAGCTGCGTTGGGAGGAGGACGGCCTTGTACATCTTCAGCATCGTACTGAGCTGGAGACTATGACGATTCCTAACTGTGCTTTTTAGGCGGTCGAAGGCTTGACTGACTTAGAAATTCGCTGGGCTACTTCGTCGTCGACATTCGTGCTGCGAGAGAACGTACTACCCAGGGACGTGAAGCTGCCCGCCACTTGCAGTTTGGTTCCTTTCACGCTGATCTGCGGCGCATTGTGGGGATGGCTGTGTTGGGTGGCGGTTGATGCATGACCACCGTCTTCTTCGTGTTGATGACCAGAACGAAGTTCTCGCAGGCGGCGAAGAAAAGGTCCATGCTCCTTTGTATGTCCTCTTCCGAGGTGGTGGTGAGGGCGCAGTCGTCGGCGGAGAGAAGTTCGTGAACAGCGTTTGTGGATACGCGCGACTGGAAGTGCAGCCGCCGTTGATGGAGGAGGTGACCGTCCGTCCTGTAGGCAGTGGGGATCCCCGAACGTTCGTCACGGTAGGCGTCCACTAGCATAACAAAGAACATAAGACTGAAGAGGGTGGGCGCCAGGACGCATCACTGCATCATTCTGTTTGTCACTGCGAATGCCTCTAAGACTGATCCGTTTGTCGTGACGGGCGTCATCATGCCGCCGTTGAGTTGGCACCCCATCTCGATGCATCGCTCGGGACAGCCGAATTTCTGCACGATTTTCCACAGTCTTTCACGACTCACCGTGTCGAAGGCTTTCGCTAGATCCACGAAGGTAGAGCACAGGTGGGTCCGCATCTCCTGGGACTTCTCCTGAAGTTGACGGGCAGCGAAGGTCATATCCGTGGTCTCGCGATGACGGCGGAAGCCGCACTGGCTTTCCGGCAGAAGACCCTGTTCTAGGTGATTATTCCGGCAGATAAGGAGGATACGAGTAAATATTTTCCCAGCGATATATAGCAAGGAGATGTCTCGATGATTGTCGCGGAGTTGGCGGTTTCCTTTTTGAATGTATAGATGCACGATTGTGGCGTCTCCGAAATCCTGCGGGACCTATCCTTGACGTCACATCACCTGGAAAAGCGCGGTCAGGTGATCCATGAGATGGGGCCACCGTGCTCGTAGACATCAGCAGGGATCATGTCGGATCCAGGCGTTTCCCGCAGGAGAGCTGCTGCACGGCCCTGCTGGTTTCGTGGAGAGAGGGCGGGAGATCGAGGTCCATGTTGGTCTCCACTTGCGGCAGAAGGGCAATGGTGGCGTCGAAGATGGTAGAGAGACGGTTGAAGATGCCTCGGAAGTGCTCGTTTTATCGCTGTAGAATTTGTGTCTTCTCATTGAGGAGGGTACTGCCGTCGGCGCTGAGGAGAGGAGCAGTGGCTTTGGCCGGCGGAGCGTAGACAGATTCGATCACGGAGAAGAAGTTCTACCATTCGTTGCGGTTCCCGTATCCTTCGACCTCCTCAGCCTTGCGAACCGTCCAGGAGTCCTGCATTTCACGCAGTCGCTGTTGTAGCAGGTGGCGCCTGCGGTAGAAAGCAGCTCTGTTATCGTCGGTGGGGCGGTCAACGTAGGCTTTGTGCAGACGGTTGTTCTCGGCAAGCAGTTTGCTGATGGCGGTGTCGTTGTCGTCGTACTAGTCTTGGTGTTGGCGGCGTGCGCGACCGAGGACGGCCAGCGGTGTCGACTGGACTGTGTCCCGCAGTTGACACCACCGGTTCTCTACAGAGGTGTTATCGTCAGCGGCGGCAGCGACTGGAAGGTTGTCTAGCCGTTGAACTAGCTCGTTGCTGAAATGCAGATGGTGAGCAGGCAACGAAAACAGGGCAATATTAAGCTTGCCTGGGGGTCGCCTACCTTGTGGTTTCCTGCGAGGCTGTAGGCGAATCCGCTTCTTCGAGATGACGAGGCGATGGTCGGTCCACCCGTCAGTCCTCGGAATCGCCTTTGTCACCAGCACGTCCCGCTGGTCTCGCCTTCGGACGAGGACATAGGCCAGCGGGTGCCACTGACGCGATCGAGGATGCATCCAGGTGAGCTTCTTTCGCATCGGCAGGCAGAAGGAGGTTTTCGTCAGGATGAGCCGGTGTTCTGCGCGAGTTCGTAGAGGGAGCATGCCATTGTCTTTGAAGCCGCGGAGCCCATGAGGACTTAGCACTCCTCTCCCATCAGCATGGTCTGTGCCGACGCGGGCGCTGAAGTCACCAAGGACAGTGAACTTATTCGCCTTCGCAACAGTCGCCAAGAGGACGTGCAGGTCCTCGTAGAATTTGTCCCTTACGGCGTCAGGGCTGGTAATTGGCGGAGCGTAGGCGCTGATGATGGTGGCGAATTCACTTCCCTGGAGAGGCAGGTCGGGGCTCATCAGACGATCTTTGATGCCTTGCGGCAGACAGGGCAGTCATCCCACGACGTCGTTCCGGATGTCGAAGGCGACACGCGTATCTCGTCCCTCTTCCTTGGGGCGACCGCTCCAGAAGGTTTAGCCGGCACCCACTTCCACAAACTGGCCTTGTTCGGAGAAGCGGGTCTCGCTGAGTGCTGCGATGTGCACATTGTAGCGCGCCAGTTCTTGAGCCCCTTGCGTCGTTCGCCGTTCCAGTCGGTTGCTCCTCGGATTGTCTAAAAGGGAATGGACATTCTAGGCTGTCAGAGTGAGAGGACTCACCTTGTCAGTCTGGCTAGTGGGGCTGCGGGGAGGAGGGGGA